GGCCCCGGCCGGGGGAGACCGCTGCCGCGGCTACTACGACGTGATGGGTCAGTGGGACCCGCCCTTCAACTGCAGCTCGGGCGCCTACAACTTCTGCTGCGGCACGTGCGGCTACCGCTTCTGCTGCCACGACGGGCCGCGGCGCCTCGACCAGAGCCGCTGCTCCAACTACGACACGCCAGCCTGGGTGCAGACGGGCCGGCCGCCCGCGCGTGCCCGCGACGCCGCCGCGCCTCGGGACCCGGCCCGCGAGCGCAGCCACACGGCCGTCTACGCGGTTTGCGGCGTCGCCGCCCTGCTCGTGCTGGCTGGCATCGGGGCGCGCCTGGGCCTGGAGAGGGCACACAGCCCGCGCGCGCGGCGCACGGTGACCAGGTGAGCGCGCGCCGGCCGCCGCCGGGGCCGGGGATGCCCGCCCGACCCCCGGACGGCCCGCCTGCTCGGTGGGCGCCCCCTCGCACCCTTCACCCTTCCGGACCTTCTTGAAACTCGGGTCCTCTCAGCAGCCCCCTCCTCCTGGGTTTTCCTCCTAGCCTCTGTCTCCAGGTCTGCCTTCCTTCCACCCCCACTTCACGGAGGGAGACAGCTGATACTGCTGTCTCTCCTTGACCTTCCGGCGGGAGCTGGGTGCTGGGCCGCCTTCCCCCGTGGCTCCCGCCTCCTTCGGAGGGGGCGGGGAGGGCAGGTCACCCGACAGAGGGCACAAGGTTCTTGCCCAAGGGAAAGGACCTGGGGCCCGAGCTGGACTAGCACGGGGTGGGGGGCGTGGGTTGATGTGCGTCTTAGGTCCTAGGGAAGGGAAGGGACATTTTTAGTCAGCTCTCTTGGCCCCCTCCCCTCCTGCTTCTATCCCCCACTTTTCCCTCCCTCCTTCCCCCTCTTCCCCCCACCCCAGCTCTGACTCAGGCCTGACCTTATTTCCCTAGAATTTTCAGAAGGCCTCCCCTACTCACCCCACTCAGTGCCCTCAGGTGAGGGTCAGTGTCTCCCTCTGTGTAGAAGGAGACCTGAAGTGTGTAGGAGGGGAACAGATTCATTGTCACTGAGGCCAAGATAGGTGCTAGCTGAGTTCTGAGTTTCATGTGAAGTGGGGTCCTCAGCTGGGATAGGGACTCTGCGGTTTTGTGTCCTGACCCTGGAACCCTCACCCACACCCTGACACTCACACTCACATGCCCCCAGCCACCCCCATGCCCTGGGGCCTGCGCCCTCCTCACTCACTCACCCAGGACCCTGCTCCCTTGGGTGTGCGGGCTGCTGATGTGGTGTGCGACAGGCTGGTATTTAGAAATGACAGTGGAGAGAAGCCCAGGCCTGGGGTGGGCTGGGTGTGGATGCAGCCCTACTCCTAGACCTCAGGGGCAGGAGGGCTTCCTTGGCACCCCACAGCACCGATTGTCCCCCAGACCACTTAGTCCACCCCCTCCAAGACAGCTGTGGGGCAGAACTTGGGCTGGAACCCTGGCCTCAGCTACTGTGCTGCATCCGCGACGTGGTGGCTCTCCCCTTGGGTCCTGGATGCTGCAGGATCAGGGCCCGGGCTTCCTGAGCTCCGAGCCTCACACTGGGTGAGGGGGAGAGGACCGGGCATGTCCTTGGGCAGAGTGGGGCAGCAGGATCTGAGGGCCATGATGGTGTAGTAGAGGGTGGCTGGGGAAGCCTGAGGACACTTTCACCTGGAACCCACTTCATCCCCAGGGGACTGGGAAGCAGGTCTAGTCATGCTCCAGGAAGAGCTGGGCCACCCTAATGTGCTGTGTGGCCTGGGCCAGTGCCTTCCTCTCTCTGGTCTTTAGGTTCCCATGTGCTCTGACTCCTGTTTCTTATCTGGGGAGACCAGGAACCTAACTTGAACTCATGTGTGGGTGTGTTCTGCACTCCTGCCCTCCCCTCAAGTCTCACCCTTAATTCTGCTGGGTTGAGGTTGATGGTCAGGGAAGGCTTCTCAGAGGGCTTGATGGGGAGTTGGAGTCTGTCTTTGGAGAAAGTTTGTGCAAAGGCTCAAAGGCATGAAAATTGCTCAGGTGTTTGGGAGAGCTGGTTGGTGGGTGCTTGCTCAGAGATGAGACCGCAAGGGTGGGCAGCCAAGTAGTGGGCAGGGCATGAAGGTCAGGTTGGCTCAGGCAGGTGCTCGGAGACTTTCAGACCCTGCTACACTGCAGCCAAACTGCGCCCACTCCAGATGTCCCACCTCCAGTGTGCCTCCTTCCTCATGAATCAGTCATTTGAGGCTCCAGCTCCAGAAGGAGAGTCAGACGAAGCTAGGAGAAAATCATGGGTTCTGGGTTCTGAAGGCAGCTGGGCTGAAGGCTGCATCTGGCTCTCTGTGGGGAAGGCTCCATCAGATTCTGTCACAGCTGGTTGGGGGCTGGGTGTCCTGGTACCCACAGAGGCGGCTGCCCAAGGTCACATAGCCTTTGGTGCGGGGCTGCCACCACCACTGCAAGAGCTCCTGGCTCCTCCCTGCCCTCGTTTTTCCATTCTCCGTGCTGGTGCTGGCAGCTTTGTCTCAGAATCCAGCAGAAGCCCCTGCTGCAGAGGGGGAGTTAGATAGGCAGGTAAAAAAGGCTTCCTGGTAGAGGAAGGAGTCTGGTGGGGTTTGAAGAATGAATAGGAGTTTTATAGGAGGAGATGGAGGAAAATAATTGACTCCAGAGGGAGCAGCAAAGTCCAGGGTCCTGATGCGCCCAGAGCTTGTGTTGAGAGAGGAGGGTTAACATGGAGGGTCTTGAGGAGAGGACTCCAGAAAGAGGAGAGGAGCCTCTGGAAAAAAAAGGTGGCCCTGGTTACACATGATCCCATTCGTTCCCCTACCTGCTCTGAGAATCGGCCCTATTGGGGCAACAGGTTGTGCCTGGGAGGGGAAACTACATTTGTGAGGTCAACCACAGGGGAGAAGGGAGGCCAGAGAGGTTGAAAGAGCGGCTCAGGGCCACACAGTGAGAAGTGATAGCTGGGGCTGGCCTCGGATAGACCAGAGCTGGTGGAGGGGGAGCAGGAGGCTTGGAGGGCTGCTTGTCACCACTCTTTCCCCACAGGACACTTACAGAACTTCTGAAGCAACCTGGCCCCCTGGAGCCACTGCCTCCACCGCTGGGCCCACCCCTGGGTAGCTGTGTCCAGGTGCAGATGGGTGATGGCCTCCCTCGGGGCTCCCACCACAACAGCACCGGTGAGGAGGCTGGTGGGTGGGCCTTTGCTGATCTGCAGTGCACAGCCTCCCTTGCCTGAGGTGCGCCTGGGAGCTGGGGAAGGGTGTGCTGAGGCTATGAGCTGTTTCCCAAATAGAAGTGAGCTGCCTGCCTCTGCAGGTGTGTGAGTGGGGGTGGTCAGCTCCTCTTGGTGGACGGGGTCCCTTGAGGGGTCCTGCAGCCTCCAGCCTCAGGGGCTCTGTGAGGAAGGTTCCAGATTCAGGGGTCCCCAGCTCAGACTCGAGTCTGCCTGGCCAGAGCCTGCAGGGCTTTTCCTTCAGGCTGGTGCCTTCCTTTTAGACTCCTGCTGACGAGGCAAGGTTGACAGCACCTCCCCTCCCCCCAGTATGGGTTCTAATCCTCAAACATTCTTCCCATCTCAGGGAGAAGCAGGTCCTGGGCCTCGCTGCTGGCTTAAACTGAACAGGCTGGCAGGTCATGCATTAGGTTAGACCCACTCAGGGCTGCTGCTATTCATGTTATTCTGAGCCAAGTCCTGTTCCAGATACTGGAGAGTCTGTCTTCATGAGACAGATTCTGCTCTCAGCCTCGTAGGAGTAAGTTCATAAGCCATCCTACAAGTTCTCATAGAATTGCAATTGGGGAGTGAACTGCAGAGAGGTGGTAGAGCAGGTGCAGGGTGGCCTCCTGTCAGCGGGCCGAGTCTCATCTCTTCCCTCCTCACCTCCAGGCAAGAAACGCCCCAACAACGTGCCCCTGGGTTCAGCGACACTGGGACCCCAGTGCGCCCCGCGGTTGCAGGGCGGTGGTAGCATGACGCTGCAGCCAGAATACACCAAGTACGCCACTCTCAAGGCAGCCGCGCTCAAGGCCACAGGTGAGTGTCCTGGTTTGTACCGGGAGTGCAGGGCCCACTACACTTCGGGTGTCCACGCTCCTAGATAGCAGTGCTCGAGGGTCCCAGGTCTAAAGTTCGCAGCGCTCCAGCCAGCTTCTGCATCGCACCTGCGCCAATCGGCTCCCACGCCTCGGCCGTTCTACATCCCCTGATCAGGCCACCGGGCTGGGATTCTATCCTCAAATCCAGAGCCCGGGGCGTTAGAAACCGCGTGTGCAGTGGCCTGTCCCCGCCCAGTCCCGCCCCAGAGGCGCTGAGGCCCCGCCCCGGGGCCTGACCCCGCCCCCGACACACCGCCACCTGTCCCCGCAGAGGCCTCCCCGCAGGACTTCTATCAGCGTTTTCCCGTGACGGAACCTGCCCGCTGACCGCCGGCGCGGGCCCGGCGGTCCCCGAGGACTTGCCCGCGCTGCTCGACACCTGCCCCTGGGCCCACCGGGCTACGCGCCCCCGCCGGCCCTACCCCATCGGGCCACTACAAAGCCTGGACCGCC